CATCTTGCAGAGGGGCATCACATTTACTAACTTCCAGTCATCCAGGACCTCCCCGGTTAGCCAGGACTGCTGATAAAGGATTGAAAGTAGCTTGGTGAGCACTCCCGCCAGCTCCCTCAGTACCCTTGGGTGGATCCCATCCGGCCCCATAGACTTGTGTGTGTCTAAGTGGTGTAGCAGGTTGCTAACCATTTCCCCTTGGATTATGGGAGCTTCATTCTGCTCCCCATCCCTGTCTTCCAGCTCAGGGGGCTGGGTACCCGGAGGACAACTGATCTTACTATTAAAGACTGAGGCAAAGAAAGCATTAAGTATCTCAGTCTTTTCCTCATCCTTTGTCACTTTGTTTCCCCCCGCATCCAATAAAGGATGGAGATTCTCCTTAGCCCTCCTTTTGTTGCTAATGTATTTATAGAAACATTTTTATTGTCTTTTACGGCAGTAGTCAGATAAAGTTCTAGTTGGGCTTTGGCCCTTCTAATTTTCTCCCTGCATAACCTCACGACATCCTTGTAGATTCATCTATGATAACCTCACATTAATCTGTTTTTTCCATTATAGAAAACCACCAACTCCTCGAGAGCCAACAATATCATCTATATTTTTAAGTCACAGAAGCATTCAATATTACAAACTATAATTTTCAAGTAATGTCTACTAATCACAAACGTTACTTTGAAACCAAACTGTTTCTTGTCAAACTTGGAAGCCAAGCAGGTAGTCATCAGTCAACCACAAACTGCTGACATATGAAGACCTACCCAGTTCTGTAACAAATGAAGCTAAATTACTGGAAACATTACTGGAAAGTCAAACCAAAGGATCAATCTAGGATGTTTCCACTTCCATTTTGTCAAAATGTCCAGTTAGTCAGATATTTTCAACACTCAAAGATTCACCTGCAAATCACTGTAATCCACCAATTAAAGGAACTGAACTTGGTGAATGCAGTTTTAGCAATGTATTCAGTCTTTGCCTAAGTGTGTGACATACTTCTAAATTTTAGTGCCAAAAGTCAGACCTTTCTCTTCAACTGGGAATACTAATTGCCTAGCTATTTAATCAATATTCAAATTAAATAAATTCTATACATTCGTGTTTAGGCTGGAGAATGAAAGGAAAACTTTATTGTACTAAAACGCATTTTTGCGTAACCTTGAAAAGCAGTAAATAAAAAGTTATCACCACAAAATTTGCTGTCATTCTAACCAATACTGGGTTAGGCCAAAAAGGTGGTAAAGATTTTGTATGCTGTTTGAGGAGAGATCATACTTCATTCCTAACTTACATAAGTGGATATCCCATTTTGTGGTCCCTGGGCATTGAAAATACCTCATTAATTTCAGTTCAACATAAGTAACTGCCATTCAAAGCCGAAGCTAATTCATAATTGCTCCATTATTTTCAGAATGAGCTCACTGGAAAGTAAGGATATATCTGCTCAGGGAATACATTTCCATGGCATCATTACTGACCAATTATCAATGCATTCCTTCGGTCCTCATAAATGTATGTGTGCTAGGGAGCACACTTTAAAACTGGAAAGTAAATAAACAGCTTGTAGCTAGGTAGTTCTGGTACCTGCTTCGTGGGTAGTTTCAGGCACCATTGCAGTGGAGGTGAAGGAAGCACTTACTGCTCCAGTGGAATAGTGAGCCTGTTTGCAGAGGAAAAAGCAAGAGAAGAAGACATTAGATCTTAGAATTTATCTACTAAAGATACTATATAAGCACTAGAAACACACAAATGTCATCCTTAGGCAGACTTTCTGCTCTAGCTCCTATAGAAAGAAACAAATGCACGATGCAGCGATAATTCCCCATCTGTTACCCATAACATTTGCTCTGATGAAACTCTAGTTAAGGCTGCCCATGCGCTGAGCAGAAAGGGCTTATTGCTTCCACTACAGTTTAATACATCATTATGCAAAGATTCTATTATCAGAATTTATTTGTATGTCCACAGGTGGAGATAGGAAAGGAATACTGCTGGCAAGACATCTGTAAAATTCTCCAACGCTGCTCAATAACTGGAAGGAAAATCCAGTGAACCACAGAGATACTGTGGAGGAAAGCAAATCCCCCACCCCGCCCCCCCCCAGCCCTTCTGCGTGCAGAGCCACTGTCCCATGGTTCCCAATGTCTATTTTGAGCTTTGTAATTCTCCTGCAGAAAGGAAATGTGAACGTCACACATGGATTTTGTAGTAAATTACAAAGATCAAATAAACCCGGAGATACATTTAGCGGCTCTGGGGCAATGCCTGTAAAGAATACAGGTCACACCAATGCTCTATCCATAAGGTTACACTGCATCCTATGCAAGTTTATAATTATGCCCATCCACATCATTAGCTGACAATCTGACTCTCCAACATGTGTAGAGCTCATCGTTCTCTCTTGCCTCTTTTTTTTCTCCCTACATCTTTTGTTTTCTTATAACACTATGATGCCCTGAAAAGGGGCAAATGTGATCCTACTCCTTGGTCGCACACATTCCCTAATCTGTCACTAAGCCTCCTCATTAAAAGCCATATGCTGCATTGCTATTCATTTTTGTGTAAGTGTAATCACAGCACAAAGACACATACATCCCAGAATTATTAAAGGAAAGAAGAATACTCTGTCTTGCCCATTTCAAACAGCCTTTGATGTAGGAAATCTAGATGCAGATGAATTGTTTCTCTTGACAACCATGAACACACAGTACCATGCACCTGGGAGAACGTCCTTTAAAATACTCCACTAAAAATCCTGCATTCCAGTGGAAAAAAATGGAGAAGCAGCTGTGAATCATTTATATATTTGCCCACACCAGAAATGATTCACTTGCACTGCCCTTAAGGTGCGTTCTCTTGGCCAATAACTGCAGGAAGCAATGATAAACAAATTCAAAGCAAGAGATTACAACCTGGGAAAAAAGGTTCTGCCAACATATACATCATAACCACATGATAAAGATTCTTCCTTCTTATTGTGCTCCATTTCTAAAATGTTTAGGTTAATTTACAATGATTTAAACAAAGAGAAACTCACCAACACATACAATGTATTTCTAAGGAATCCCACTATGATTCTCATATTCTCATCTATGACAAATTTCCATGTAACCTGGGAAAAAAGGTTCTGCCAACATATACATCATAACCACATGATAAAGATTCTTCCTTCTTATTGTGCTCCATTTCTAAAATGTTTAGGTTAATTTACAATGATTTAAACAAAGAGAAACTCACCAACACATACAATGTATTTCTAAGGAATCCCACTATGATTCTCATATTCTCATCTATGACAAATTTCCATGTAACAGAAAACAGAATAAGTAGTGTCTGTTTATACTGTAATATGGCCTCTAAGCTGAAAAACATCTATTACCATTCTTGAAGAAGTCAATCAGTGCCAAACTACAAATTAAGTCAACTTACTGCATTCAGCTTATCCACTTTCTTCTTTTCAGGAGCCTTCATAGTAGCTGCTAGAATATCATCGCCTTTGAATTCCTTATAAAGCTCCAGTAAAGTCTCTCGGGTCTCTGTATTTGTATTTTTCAAATAGTAAGATGGATCTAATTTTGCTTTTTCTTCATCTAGATAAGACAAAGTTAAATCATTCCGAGTTAAAAGAAAAATTCTATTTTTTTCTCCTTCAGTTTATTGCATATCGTTACACAAAAATCTTCCAGATATTATTTCTACTTTTTTTTCCAATAAAAAGTAACTGTATTTATTCCTGCAGAAACAGTAACAAATAGCAATGCATAACACTAACAGTGTAACTTGAAATATAGCACAATAAATGCCAATATGATGAACTATAACAAAAGAAAAAAACCAACTTCAAATTGACTACTGCAAAAATTTCTTTGAAACCACTAGAAATTATCTAAGTGTATGCAAGTCTTGTAAAATTTTTATAGAACTATAAAGACACAATGCAGTTGGGTACAATATAAACTTCTGTCCTTTGTCTCCTCACTGAATGGCCAGACCTGTGATGCAAAAATCCCAAGATCAGATCTTTAATGTGATACCAGGGGGAGGAGGCTGATGGACCGGACTGTAGAATTTAATTTTTTTTTTAATTTAATTTTTTTATTTTACAAGTTTCACTTGTTCTCTGTCTTGGTACGCCTACTATTTGCTGGATATTAAATATTCCATCTCTGAGATAATACCCAGTTATTTTTGGCTGGTAAATAGAAAGAGAGATGCTTGCTTGCTTGCAGAACTAGTAACTTTAAAGGAAAAAAAAAAAAGAGATGAGCATAATAAGACCCAGAAAAACATACCATGCTTAGAATCAGCAATTAGACCTCATTAGAAACAGTTCTAAAGGAAACCACAAGGGCAAAGAATTTTTTTCCTTCAGCAATTTCATATTAGCAGATTTTACTAAGCATTTAGCTATCAAAAAATCACAAAAAGAATTGAGAAGCAAATTTCTTTGATATCTAGAAAGACAAAAAAAGCATTTTATTTTTGATTATTAAAATAATTTTGGGACTATTTTAGAAAAATCTATATCAATCTTTAACCTGGAAGATGGCCATTGTCATCCAGACAGAAGGATGGGCAACACATTCTCGATACACATGAAAGAGAGCCTAGCAGACAGGTATGAGAAGATGTAGGTTTCCTTATTTTGGTTCTGGTACAAGGCTAATGGACCTTTTGGCAAATTATTTTTCCTCTTCTTCTCACTTCTCTCTCATCTACCTACTTTTAAAGGCTACGGAAAGCTTTCTGTGTTTGCACAACACTCAATAGAGACAGTTAATGATTTCTCAAAGAAGCATGTCTCTGCTTCAAAATTTGTTAACACCTTTTGATGTGAAAGGGACAGTTTCAACAAGTTATTCATGTTTCCAAGAAGTTTTCAAAGTTACCACTAGCCACTGAGGGATGTCCATCCAGAAAACTGTCAATTCCATAACGTCGTCTTTAGAATTTGCCTATTTGGGTTGGTGTTTTCTCAGCCTACCTTCAATTCCTCCTTACCTGGATCAATTACTTTTATGTTGTTCTTAACATGAAAGAAGTTCGAGACATTGAACTTATCCAGGTTTGTTGGATCCTGAAAATAATAATTAAAAAACCGAAAGTCAGAGAGCTTGGTAGGCACCCATTCCATGCGACAGACTAGTTTGAAGGGCAGACACCACCATAATAAATGAATAGGGAGAGACAGAATAACTTCCATACTCCCCAAACCACAGAAAGATGAAAAAAATATAAAACAATCAACCCCAACTGACATCAGCAATGAGCTTGTTCACAGTAGGGTCCTTAGGGATCTGGAATTTAGTCCCAAACATAGTATTACACATATTTTGCCTACAGAAGCTACTAACAGAACTAAGCTGAGTCTACCCTATCCTAGTGAGAAGAAAAAACGAGGAGCTGCGATCCTCCGATTCTTTCCTTCGTTCTGTGGTTTGTTCTAAGATCTATGCAAATTCACATTAGCTATCTCCTTCTATTTATAACAGCGTGCCTGATTTGCACATGCTCTGTGAACTTTTGTAATGCATTTCAAAATACAAATAAACCGCAGAGCAAGTCTTTGCAGTCAGAACTGTTTTGAATGCTTTTTTTTAAACTAGTGAAATCTGTGCTTAGAGAATTACGTTTAAAAATAAAAAATAATAATAAAAAGGCAACAAAAAGTGGTATTATGAAAACTCTATTGAGTGACCACTCAAGGAAAACAGCAATAATACACAGTCCATTAACTGTGAATCTTTATGCTATCTCTAGGCAACTTTCTGCATAACTTTGACCTTTTGTTAGAGAGTGAGACAAGGAATGCCTACTGGTGATCTAGGTTACATTATACTATTATTAAACAGTCCTTAATCATCTTCTTACAATGAAGAAGGTTTTCTCCTCAAGCTCCTCTGCAGCACAGAAAGGTCAAAACATCAGCCCAGGACACCCAGTCATTTCTGGAAATTCTATCTTACAGAAAACAATTGAGAATCTAAAATACCAAAATATCTTAATAATATGCAATAGATTCAAGTTCAGGATAAAAATAATGCAACATATTATGCAAAGAACTATGACACTGACATGAATAGCATTATCCCAAATAAATTTAACAAAGCTTCTTAGACCACCACTGTTGGTAAGAAGTTCCAACAATTTCACCTCTGCTAAAAGTAATTATTAATACAAGCAGAGCTGGTAGCTCCATCATTTATTAAATGATCTAATTATGCCTTTTATTCATCCCTGAAATGGCATGCTTCCACCAGAGAGTGCATTTTTAGTTTTACTGCTGGTATTAAAACCAAAACACATTTATGAAATCAAGCTGTGTGATTCTGCACCCTAATGATGACCTCCTGGCTTTCTGCTGACCCCTTTCCCAGCCACTACCTAATCATTTTCTATTGTTTCCTGCCCCACTGTACCCCTCTGATAGATCTTCATCAAGACATGGACTGCCAAAAAAATAGATATTTTATCTTTAAGATCTTGCATTAGAAACAAATAACCTTTAAATAAAACTACTAAGGAATAGGAAATTTGGACCTGTTTTTTAACCATCTTTGTATCTTCTGACACTGGCACTCAGGTGTATTCATTATTTATTAACCCACATACGTATTTATGTATGTATGAATAGAGCTAATTTCAGCCTTGCTCTCTGACAGTCAACAAGATGCATGGTGGAGAAAGTCTGGAGAAAGGGCTCAGTGTGTTTCCAGAAGACACAGGTTGCCTCCTCCCAAATACTCTTCTGTAATCATGAGCTGCAGCGTTCCCAGACAGAAATCATCGCCTTGCACATAAATATACCACCTCAAAAGGTGAAGGAAGTAAGACTGCTTACCCTTTCCAGGAAAGGAAAAAAAAAAAAAAAAAAAAAAAAAAAAAAAAAAAAAAAAAAAAAAAAAAAAAAAAAAAAAAAAAAAAAAAAAAAAAAAAAAAAAAAAAAAAAAAAAAAAAAAAAAAAATCTGTGTATTAATATTAATAGAGACAAACGGATTTATAGCAATCCACGTCTGCCGTTCATGGCAAAGCTGAAGGGCAAGACTGACTCCTGAAACCAACTTTTCATGGACAGGAGGGAGGGCAGGAGACAGCAGTAAAGATGAACCAGAAAACACCTTCACTATATTCCTCTAAATAAAGCTTCTTGATTTACTGATTTATTGATTGTTTAAAAATAAATAAAAGGACATCACAACTGCCAGTGCCTTATGAAACCAAGTGTTTTGTGCTCAGGGTACCACGAATCAGATTAGTACAAACTGTTTCACAGCCATGGTTCATTCAAACGTTTACCTGGCTTAACCAGCCTAATCGCAGGCATTGAGCAACTCCGGCAAAAATGTTTACAGTGTCCTTCACTGCAAGGCTCTCGAAATGGCTGTTAACCTCCCCATAGGCAACACATCCATTATGGTATGAAGGACAGCAGAGGCCACAGTGCAGCTCCCTCTCCTTGCAGACCACAGCTGTCCAGCTGCTTTCTGAGAGACCCGAGACAACCCCAAACCCCAGAACTGAGACCAAAGTCCTCTGCACAAGGTCCTGCATCACATTCAGGTGGGCCATTTGTTCAAATTGAAACCTCGACAAAGGTTTGATTTACAGTGTTGTCCCTTGTGTTCCTGATTCTGCAAAGCAGGAGTCTCACCACTCATCAAGAAGGCAGACAACCTAAGCGCCTACTCCAAAACCAGTTTCCTTCTGTCAGTGGAATAAACCCTCAAAAATGGTTCCTCAAGTTGAAATTTGAGTGTCAGCTTGCACAGGACACCTAGGATAAGCAGCTGACATATTGATTCCTCCCTCTAAAATAGGGCATCATGATACACTAGGAGAAGTTTGATTAGAATTAGTTTGATTAGAATTAGACAAACACACATACTAAGTGTGACAGTACTGCAGCGAATATTAAGTTAAACACAAGACACCATTTGCTTCTACCATCCCCAAGAGCAGAAACACATCTGACCAGTCCAACCTGTGCTGCAGAAGACACAAACCATTTCCTTACTGATGGTACTGAGTCCTACAACACAAGATACACATTTTTTAAAGGTAGGTCTATGTACATTTTGAAAGTGCACACAGTCTTTAGACATATCACTTCAGGAAGAAAACTGTCTAAACACTAATAATTAGTCTGCCAAGATCCTCTCATTGCATCCATGACAGTTACTGGGCACAGAATCAGAGCAGTCCCACCAATACACCACAGGGATGGCAGATGGATGTACCTGCATCGTCAAAGCCTTGAGCTCTAATGAATTAATGGCCTCTCCCGGTCAGAGAAAGGCTGGACTCACGGTGATGCTCCCAATCCTGTTAAGATTAAGGCCTAGAGCCCAAAGGCCTAAAGAAATAAGTTCTGTGTAAGTGCACAGAAACCAGAAAGGAAGATCATAGAATCACTGAGGTTGGAAAAGACCTCTAAGATCATCGAGTCCAACCGTCGACCCAACACCACCATGTCCACTAAACCATGTCCCTAAGTGCCTCATGTCTTTTAAATACTTCCAGGGATGGGGACTCCACCACTTCCCTGGGCAGCCTGTTCCAATGTTTCACCACTCTTTCAGTAAAGAAATTTTTCCTTACATCCAATCTAAAGATGAACCATGAAGAGTAAATTGGCCTACTTTTGTTTGTCTTAGTGTGTTTAAAAATATGTATTCAAATTACCATGGGTAGCAGTCTCAGGGTTTTTCTTATTAAGGTTACAAACCATAAACTTTAGTTTAGCAAATTACTAGCACAGATACAGACTTCAAAGGGTTGCTAACTATCATGACTATTAAAAATCTCGTATTTGATGTTTTCCTGAAAGCTGAGCTCCGAAAACAATTAATCTCGTTTTATTCCACTTGTTTTTTTCCTATCATTTTCCGGTTTCACCTACTTAGGGAAACAGCTTAAACTCCATTAATCTTAAGCACCATACACACAACCCCCCCCAAAAGCAGGTTAAAACCAGCGCAGTTTTAGACTGTGTGATTTCTTTGAGGCCTGATTCCTCTCTTACCATTTGGTCGGCCATGCTGCATTCCTAATTATCTTCAGGACTGTCACCTTCATACACTGACCACGTCCCAGTGCATCACTTCTTTACCAGTCATTCTGCACATGCATTGGTGCAGGATTTGCCCTCAAAGAGCCCTCACCCACAAATGAGAGGAAATCTGCTCTGACCTTCTGTCACACAAAGAGCAAACGAGAAATAGCTGAGGACTGAAGTATCAATTAACAGTGTGCAGCGCTCAGCTATCTCCAACTTAGCTCATTAGTTATGCTTCCTGCCACACATGCCAATGGTGTTTAACAGCTTGTCGGGAACCGTGTCTTGTCCATGACTGATTAGGTTGTACAGAAACAATAAAATTGACATAAGGAAGCACATAACAGTATGAGCCTTTTTTTTCCTTTAACGGCAGCAAACCTGTTTGCATTCTACCCAGACTTTTTTTTTGTCTATTTATTTCTCCCAGGGCCCCCCCCCTCCATTTCTGTGGTGCAAAGCAGATACATTTGTTAGCATGCATCTATCAGGGAAGGCTCCCAGCAGGCTGCCCTAAGAGGACTGTGCCTGTTACCACTGGCACAACAGGGTTGGGGGGGTTTATTGGAATTCTTCTGGCGAAGAGGAACAGACCACCTCTGCCTCTGCTTTACCTGCAAGCACTGCTGCTGAGCAGAGCCACACTTCTCACTAACTCCCGTCCCCTGCCGGCACACAGCAATAGCTTCTTAGAAGCAATAGCTTCTAAGAGTTTCCAGAGCAGGAATAATTTCTGCTGTATCGTCACAAATTTAAGAGCCGTGGTTTCTGGTTTGTGAACAGAGATATGGTGGAGGATGAAGAATTGACAGGGGGCTAAAGGGGAAATTGTCCTTAGTTCCTCTGAACACTTCCTACCAAATGGGATGTGAAAGCGGGGTATTACAGCATTCTTACTTTGCTCTCCTCAGGACCCTCTCACACTTGTTGAGATGGGAAGAAGATGGGAAGAAGGGGTCCAGGAAGGCTGGACGATCTTCAAGAAGGAAGTCTGAAAGGCGCAGGAGCAGGCTGTCCCTGT